GGGCCAAACAGCACCCAGAACGGATTTACCCTCCGTGAAGCCTGCGTTCCCTGCATCTGGGCCAGCCACGGAGATGCACCCAGAGAAATCACGACCAGGTATGAGTGGAAACTGGGATTGACTAAGCGTGCGGGGAGAGAAGCCATTTTTGAATGCACGGGCCCATTGGAATACGGTGGAGCCATAACCTGTCATTTGGAGGGCATCAATGGGGTTCACTGAAGCGGCCTCGGTTTGCACAATCACCTGCTCAGAGGAAGCGATATAGGGTGGCCGGCGAGTAGTTGTGAGTCGCAGCTCCTTACTGATCTCCTCGGCACGGCAGAATTTGTGGATCTCCCAGGTCCGCAGTTTGCCCTGGATAGTCCACAAATGACGCTGCGAGAATCGCATGGTAACCCTCTTCAAAAACAAAAGAACATTTGTTAGCAGCGGGTCAAATGAAAATGCAGTTCACAGACGGATAGCGAAATAGAGCTTAGGCTGTGTACACAAAAATGTTTCCAGTGAAGAAATGAATGCCAAACAATCCGATAAAAACGTTAACCAACGCGGAAAATGGCAAAGGGTGAAGATAACCGCGTAAGCAAGACAGATAGTTGGTATAGACAGAACAACGGGTGAAAGGATGAAGAGAGTGACTGATTGATGCTAGGCGCAAAGTGTTGTGGCAAACAGGAAATGCATTCTCGGTCAGTAGCGCACTGGCAATATCTTCACATACAGTATTTTCACGCATTATATATCACATACGAGCAGGCCAATCTTCAGACAGGGAAAATTTACCTATCAGTCTTAGCTCTTAAATTAACCCTTAACACAATCCCACTACTTAGTTGATCCAATTGTGAAAAAACTCGCAGCCTCGGTGGGAGTCGAAACCACACAACAGGAAAGGCTTTTACGCAGCCAACGCTCCACTATACTGAGCTACGAGGCTCACCGTGCGCCGTGAATTGAATCAGACTGGGATCGATTTTATCCCCCGAGGCCGCGAATTTCTTTTACAATTGGATCAAGTAAATTAAGCAAGTCTGCCAATCTCAATAGTCGGACAACAGAGCCGCTGTAGAATGCCGTTTCCCTACCGACCAATTTATGCCAGTGCAAAAAGATGTTACGTGTTGGCGCCACTGCCCTTTGCGAGCTGTTACTCACCTACCGATTTATGTTCTATCTTTGCCGATGAGGTTTAAATGGTAGATATTTTCCGAGCTTCCGCAGCTTAAATGCGTGAACATCCCAGGTAATTTGTGTGCAGTGCATATCGATATTTTGAAGTTAACAAGTTGTTTG